TTTATTATTTTTTTTGTTCTTGGTGTTATTAGAGTTTTAGCTACCTGCATATTGCAAGTCTTCATCTGTGTGATTTTTCTTCAAAGCAATTTTTTACTTCTTTTGGTTGAGATTGCAGACCAAGTTTGAGTGGAGAGGAAACTCCCATATTGTAGTAATCATTCAGGTATATTGAATTGCTGATCTCTCTAAATTTGAGTTAATTTGAATTATTTTATATAATGGAAATATTTGATGATAAATCTAAATTTTGTGTTAAATTAACGGAAAAGAGTTATTTAACATGAGAATTTCAATTTTGATTATCTATCACTAGAAAAGAATTATGGGAACACCTTGATGGCGTTGATCCAGTGCCAAAGATACTACTAATTTGGAGCAATGGAATATCAAGGAGGCTAGGGTGATGTCTTAGATCATTGGGGCATGTGAATCTCAATAGATTCTTAATTTACGTCCCTACAAGACTACACAGACAATGTGGGAGTATTTGAAGAAATTGTACAATCAAATAAATTCAGCCAGGAGATTTCAATTGCAGTGTAATATTGCAAATTATACTTAGGGGAGTCTATTTATTAAGGAATATTTTTCTAGTTTTTAAAATTTTCAGATATAATTTATGCAGATATGTTTAAAGATTCTCTAACTGATGTTTTAACTGTTCATAACATCAGCAAGCATGATCAATTTTTAGTGAAGCTAAAATTAGATTTGAAAAGGATTGTTCTAATCTAATAAATCGTCACCACCCTCCCTCCTTGGATATGTGTTTCAGTTCTTTAATTCGTGAAAAACGTCTTCTTACACAAACCACTCTTGAACAAAATAAGATGGCTAGAACACATGTTCTTTTCAGCTTAAGGAAAAGGCAAGGGAAGAAATATGAGTAAGGCTCAATGTTTTAGTTGCAAAAATTATAAGCATATTATTGTAAACTGTACTGAGAAATTTTGCAATTATTACAAAAAGTAATGACATATTATCAAAAAATATTCAATTTGCCCTCGAAATCGCAAGACCACTGCTTTTCAAGCAATTATTGGTAGCTCTTCAAATTATCAGACTCAGACTAGACCCTCGGTTACATCAGCAATCAATCAAAATATTGTTCTTACTCCGAAAAAGGTGCAACAAATGATAGTTTCAGTCTTATCAGTCCTGATAATTTAAAGTAATGGTAATTCTTTATCTAAAACTTGGCTTGCTGATTCTGTTGCATCAAATCACATGACTAATTTAGCTAATTTGCTGAAAAATGTTTGTCTATATCATGGTTCAGAACTTATTGCAAATGGAAACAATCTGTCCATTATTGCGGTGGGTGATATTATTCCAATTTTTAACAAAGTCTATCTATCACCTGGACTTTTTGATAATCTTCTTTCAATTGGTTAGTTAGTTGATATTAACTATGATGTATATTTCTCTTGTGATGATTGTTGTGTGCAGGATTAGGTATCGAGGATGGTGATCGTGAAGGGGCCTAAAGTTGGACTCTTGTTTCTTCTGTATATTTCCACTCCTAATAATATTTCCTTAGTTTGTTTTACTGTCATTAATAATAGTGAAGTGTGGCACAAACGTTTAAGACACCTCAATTTGATTGTAATATCTTATTTGTTGAATTCTGGATTATTAGGCAGTAAATATCAATTTTCTGGTCTTTCTTTTGATTGTACAACTTGTAAATTGAGTAGTAAAATTCTTCCATTTTCCATTGTTGATAGTCTTGTAGATAAATACTTTGAAATTATTTATAGCGATCTATGGAGAATCACACCTCTAATTTCTCATGCACATTATAAGTATTTTGTGATATTTATTGATGACCATAGTTAGTTTACTTAAATTTATTTTATTCGTTCCAAATATGAGGTTATTTCAACAAATTACATTTGTTGAAATTTAATTTTCTACTGCTATTAAAATTTTTCAATATGATTCTAGTAGAAAATACATGTTTAATATATTTCATCAATTTCTAAATGAAAAAGGTATCTTCTCATAACGTTCTCGTCAACATACATCTCAACAAAATGGTGTGGCGAAGCAAAAGAATCCTCACCTCTTAGAAGTTACTTGCACATTGTTACTTGAATCTTCTGTCCCACCTTAGTTTTGGGTAGAATCTTTATCTACAGCAACTTATCTTATTAATAGACTACCTTCTCAATTTCTAAACTTCGACTCTCCTTATTTTCGTCTCTATCAACAACATCCTCACTATGGCCATCTACATACATTTGGCTGCGTTTGTTTCGTTCACTTGTCCCCTCATGAACGCCATAAACTTTCTGTTCAATCTGTCAAATATGCAATTTTCAAATACAGTACAAATCACAAAAGTTTTTTTACTATGGTTCTTTTAAGAAGCTGCATGTTTCTCATAATGTCATTTTCTTTAAAAATTAATTTTTCTTTCCTACTCGTGATCAATCATTCCCTAATATAGCTATTTTTCTTAATTTTGATTATTTTTCTTCTTCTCCTAATCAGTTCAAGCATGGATATGTGTATGAACGACGTTCTTCGCAGTTACTCCTTCCTAATCCAGATCCACTATCAGATCTTATACCATCACCCTTGAGACGCTCCACTAGAGCCTCTTGTCCTCCTAATTGGCATGACTCTTATCATACATCAATTAGTGCTGCTTTATTTTCTATTATGGTTCCATCTTCTTACTCACAAGCAATTACGCATAAGTGTTGGCAACAAGCAATGCACGAGGAACTTTAGCCTCTTCAAGATAACCATACCTAAGACATTGTTCCATGTCCACCTACAGTCGAACCTATTAGATGTAAGTAGATTTACTCACTCAAGCTTCGCTTTAATGGGACTCTTGAGCGTTATAAGGATATGTCAGTTGCCCTTGGTAATCAACATGAGTATGGGGTGAACTATAAGGAGATATATGCTCCTGTGGCTAAAATGACTACTATGCAGATAATTCTTGTCATTGCTACTTCACAGAGTTGGCTACTCAAACAAATGGATGTCAATAATGCTTTTCTACATGGTGATCTCAAAGAGGATATCTATATGACACCTCCTCTTGGTTTGTTCTCTTCATCTACTTTA